CCTACCAGAGCTAATCTTGTATTCCACTTACACATAACCTGGATTTTTGTTTCACATCCATCTATATTAGATAACCTACATATTCTTCTCATGTCTCACAACCTATTTAAACAACTTCCAAATTGGTTTTACCAGGTCGTTCACTCCTTATAAGCTATCATCTTTGGTCTGCCAGAACAATGTCTTATAGTTTGTATCTCAAGTCAGGGTCCTGCTGCCACTACTAACTTCCCAATTCAGGTACATGTAGCATGTATCTCAAGCCAGGTCTCTGCTGCCACTACTGGTTTGCACCCTTCTGGTCTTAACATTATTTTCAATGAATTGTGCAACTAACCTGCCCCTTTAGTACACTCTTTTATGGTAATAGTCCGAACCTGTTTTGTAAATTACCTCTTCTAGCTGTCACTATCATAATATTACTATTACTTCCAATTTGGAGTATCTCAATCTTGATTGGTATAGCATTCATGTTGGTATGTTCATTCTTATATCATTATAGACTTCCATATAGATGTGACCAGAGCTTCGGCTTGGTACCTTTAGACATACAGAACAGGTTACTTTCTCTATACATTTTGCTATCTTCAATATCAGGATGTTTCACAGCACCAGAGGTGCTTCCAATCTTGATAAGGCTAATCCTTTTTCATAGCCCATCCTCATGTTTACCGCTTCTCTCATTATTTTAGTCTTGGTTACTTCCAGACTACTCTCCCAGTCAAATCCTTTTCCTTGAATCCCAATTAGGACTTATTTGCACAATCCAATGATTATCCTTTCAAGCAAGTACTCCACAAGTTGGATGTGAAGATGTTGGTATTGTCTAATTAGAAGGTATAGGGATGTTGGTGCTGCCCTAGCCTAAATGACTTATATATGCAATCTTTCCATAACCATAACCTTCAGTAACAGCTGCTTGTTACACATAGTGCCTATGCTCTATGATTGGGTCTCCTTTCGGGAATTTCTACTTCAGTCATGTAATGCACTTGGACTTAACTACCAGGCTTCGCATTTAATTACTGGCTCCTTATTGGGTTACAGAGGCTAAATTCTTTTAGTTTTTGCCTCCAGTCAGACTTGAACTATTGACCTTGACTGTGGAGGCATGGGAGCTTAACCGCTAAGCTATGGGACTCACATCCAATAAAGAGACCATTTTTTGATTTACTAGACAAATTAAAATTAATATAATTTGTATTTGGCACATTTAAAAGAGAATATAATAGTTCTTTAAAAATTACAGAATTAAGATATTTATTTTCTGAAGATTTATCTTCATTATTAGCAGATAGAAAATACAAGTGTTTATTAGATTGTTTAAAAAAAAGATCTTTTAGAGCCTGTTTTTTAATATTAATTTATTGATATTGCCCAATATAGTCATTAGATTCAATTGATTCAATTGATTCAATTAAAGGTGAGCATTGTCGATGAATAGAAGATGAGCATTGTTGTTGATAGATTGAAGGTAGGTGTTGTCGATGAGATAAAGATGAGTATAAGCATTGTTGATAAGATGAAGGTGAGTGTGAGTGTTGTCAATGAGATGAAGGTAAGCATGAGCATTGGTGATAAGATGAAGGTAAGCATGAGCATTGTCGATGAAATGAAGGTGAGCATGAGCATTATTGATAGATTGAAGGTAGATATTGTCGATAAGATAAAGGCGAGGATAAATGTTGTTAATGAAATAAAGGTGAGTGTGAGTGTTGTTGATAAAATGAAAGTGAGTTATTTTGTAATAGCACTTTATATTAATATCTAGTGGCATTTGTTAATGTTGAAAATTCAATACTAGTTGCAGATATTGAAGATTCGACACTATTATTTTGAAGTGATTCTTATAATTCTTGTGCCTCTAGATTAATATTAAAATTTTCTTTTGAAAAATTAAAAGATTAATTTTATTTTTTATTACAAATATAAAAACTATTTTGTTTTATTAAAAATAAAAAACTATTAGTATACCTTTAATCTTTGTTTAACATGTTGTTCATTGTTGGGAGTCTGGGGAGTCAGTTAGTTCCGAGTTGTGGCTAGTAGGGGATGATGGAGAAGAAGTCGGAAAGATGGGTACCAGGGTTTGGGTGAACTTTACAAGGGTAATAGCA